ACTACGACTGGATAATAATTAAACAATTCTACCGTCAATTTCATATAAATATAAAAGCTGATATTTTTACTTTGAAATAAACTAGAAACAAGCAGAAATGCATAAAGCAAAGGTTGCAGTAAAATTGCACGAGTTAAGGAATGATCTCGCGTGCCGGCCGAAACCACTTCCATCCAAACAATACCCACTCGACGCGATACCCCGTCCAACATTTACCGCTTGCCAGAAGTTCCGCGTTAGCCAAATATTTTATAAACCCTACCCGCGGCATCTGACCGAGAACCACTACCTGAGGCTGTTGAACCATTGGCTGCTCGCCAAACCCGCTCTGCTCCGTGATCACCGCGGTAACCTTCGGCGGCTCGTATTCAGCCAGCTGAACCCCGTGGAACGATTGTTCGTCCGTGACTTTGGCCAATTGTTCCGACTGATTCTTCGCCGACTCCACGGCCAGTCTGTCCTCCTCCTCCTCGCTCTTCTGCTGTTCGATCAACTTGTTCAGCTGTTCCTGCCGCTTGTTCAACTCCTCCTGTCTCTTCCGCAGTTCCTCTTGCTGCCGTTTCTCGATCTCCAGATGCTGCCGTCTCTCGTGCTCCGCCAGCCTCTGTCTGTCCTTCTGCAGCAACTGTTGCTGGATCAGATACTGTTGTTCGTTGAAATGTTTCAAAGATATACTCTCCGGAGTTTCGTATTCAGGCTCGCCGTCTTCAGGTCTGACATCAATCGGTAAAATAGAGCTCGGGAACTGCGGCGGTTGGGCCTGAGGCCCAACGTAGACTACTTTAGGGACTTGCGACACGATCTGATTCGACACGACCGGTTCTTGATTGAACTTCGACGGTGGGTTCACCCGAGGTAGCACTTCATTAATGTCCGAAGGATATTTATTCTTGGTGATCGGCCATGCCGACGGTGGCGGGGTCAAGTCTTGGTGCTCCGACACGTAATACGTATTACTGATTGGCGTGGACAAAGTTTCTACCTGTTTCACCGAGCTGTCCTGATTAGGTCTTCTGTAATCGTGCACAGTCTCCCCGGACGACTGGTACTTATTCTGTTCTTGAGAACGAGGAGTAGTAGGGGCTGGAGTGGACGAGGTGTACACGTCCGGGGGTAGGAGAGTCTCGTACGGCAACGAGGGCCTGAAGTTGAAAGGATTGTACACAGAAGGAGGCGTGATGTACCCGATCTCGTGGCTCTCGTGCACTAAGAACGCAGGATCCCTTTCGTAAGACGTTTTGTAGGAATACGATTGATGGCTAGGTTGACCGAAGAAATTGCCAGAGCCAGCTTGATTCAAAACATGATCATTGTGCTGTCCTGGATGTTTCTCGTAATTCTGTCTGTGATCGTAATCGGTCAGTCGTTTGTCCTTTCCAAAGTCGTTGCCTTTGCTGGAGACCTTTAGGGATTCGAAAGGCTTCACTTGATACCTGGGCGGTTGCAGTAATTGGGGAACGTATGGTTCTGCATAATGTCTGTTCTTCGAGGTCGCTTGTGAGGACGGAGGATTTGTAGTCGAGGTGTAACCGTTGATGAAGTACGTGGCTGCCTTTATCGGATCAGGTTGCTGGTGCATAGGTGCGAATTGTGGTTGCCTCAAGTAGCCTCCGTTGTCTCTTAGAATCGGCTTCCTGTGCTGGTCCAAGTCGAAACGATAAGCATCCTTCGGCGGTGGTATCAGGAACGTGTACTCGCGCGTCTCGGACGGGAGCGAATGTTTGTTCGCGTGGTTCTGTGCCTCGCCACGTGCCTTCGCGGCCGCGTGACTCAACATCGTGAAACTGCCTAATATTGCGGGTGGGTTGTAGTCGTGGTGCGAGCTCGGTTTACCCTTTCGTTGTGGCTTTAATTTCTCCGACGCCATGTGCTCTTGAAGTTTACTGTGCACCGGGTGGAGAATCGGACCGTTGCGTTGCTCTAGATTGCTCGAAGGGGAGACGTTCGTGCCGATGGATTGTTCTTCGTAACCGTTGGTCAGTGGCCGCCACCCGTTTGCGATCATCGACGATCGCGTCGGTGACTGGAATCAATGAGGAATTTATAGTACAGGTAGCCCTCCTTCAACACGGCATCTTATAACACGGTTTCGCTATAACACGATTCGTAAATTGCGCGAACCCTCCTACAACACGGCATCCTATAACACGGTTTTGCTCTAACACGATAAGAAAATTGCAAAAACCTTTGTAAAGTACTGTACTTCTACAGCCGCGGCGAGGCTTGCCGTCTTAAAGATACAATGTTGCCACTGAAATATAATTTAACATTAAACTGAGTTAATAATTTAACATTAAAAAAATTAAATGAAGGCCTAAGCTTAGCTGAAAATCTCGAGTCATTTTTCTACTAAAAGAAGCCGAAAATTCAAAAGGGAGCTGCAAAACTGTCTAGCTCCATACCGAGAAATTTACAATGACCTGGTAAGAACCAGCAACCAAAGTACAATTACAGATTTTTTTAAGAGGGAAGAAGATGCAAGAACTTTAAATGAAGAAAAAAGTTCTGAAAGTGAAGGCGATATCATTCCACCGAAAAAACGTTCTCGGTTGATTATACATACTGAGCAGTGACGACGAAGAAATTTATTAAATTAGAGTTGCGTTAAATTAAAATAATAC